TTTTTTTTTTTTTTTTTTTTTTTTTTCATTGCCTACAACCACACTGTCTCAACATGGGACTGCAGAAGTCTGAGAGCTAGTTGGTGTTACTCTGGGCTGGTGCTTGGATGGACAGTTTTCTCCCCTCCCCCCCTGTGAAATTCCTACAGGAATTGTAACTGATGATTCAGTCCAGATGTGGGGGGTTTTCTCTCTGAGTCAGTGCTGTGCTGAACAAGTGATCTAATGTTTTATTGGGGGAAAAGAAGTAGTATCTTCTGAGGAGGTGTACAGCGATCTACTTATCCATTGCATCATTGATATAACTTAAGATATTTTTGTTGGAAGAATATTTATTTTCTTCATAGAATATTTTCCCTGTTGTTTCAGATCAGCAAGATCCCTAAGGCAGAGGGGAAGTCCAATTTCAGAGCAGCCACGTATGGTCCATTACATTTTCACTAGGCAGGTGATGGAGATGTAGGCAGAAATTCCAAATCTATGAGGATCTTAAATAACCGTGTAAAGTTACTAGTGCAATTCTGTAGCTGTAGGGTTAATCTTAGTAAAAAAAAAAAAAAAAAAAGTTCTGAAATTGTGTTCTGTTTTAGTCCTGTATTGTTATTCCTTTTATGTCTGATCCTTCTCTTTTTGATATAACTGGAATTTTTCCTGAACATGAAATTACTGCTAAAGATCTGGAAAAGTTTGCTGTGCAGTATTTTCTTAAAGGTGAATACTGTGTTCTGTTCCCTGTGAACTTCCAGAGATGAGTAAACAACACACAGGAACGAATTTTAGCTTACTTTATAGATGTAGAAAATTACTTTTTAACAAAAGAGCCTTTTAGCATCTTTTGATTAGAAAGACTGTTGCAAAACACAGTACAGAACAGTCCACTGTAAGATCAGTATGACTCAGCCTTACGTTTCCACAGCCTCATTATTACATAGCAAGTTTACATTATTTTAAAATTAGGACTGTCCCTAAACACAATAATTTAAGGAAGCTTTCTCTGTGACATTACAAACTCAGAGGTTATCTTGACCAACAAGCTTGTCTGACCTCACTTTGAATCAAGGCTGTTTGGCTATTAAAAGTCTCCAAAAATTGTCATAAAATTGCATTAATCACTAGCATCAAATAGAAAGAAAACTGTATGGAGTCAGAGCAAGCCACAGAGTATGAAGACTGTATTTCAGAATAAATGTAACTGAAGGTGAAGAACCTTCTGACAGCTTGAGGCATTATTTAATTAATTAACTAATTAACTAATAATTAATCAGAAGCACAGTTCAAGAAACCTTGTTTAGAATACAGAAATAATAATCAGCATTATTTTCCCAATTATCCCATGGCAAACTGTGGGTCTCCTATATTTAATAAAGGCATTCTACTGCATAATGATTTAAAGTTAGAATACCATGGAAGTATTTTGTGCTAATACTGTGGCAATACCAGTAAAGTATTCATGTGTTTTCAGAACGCAGATATGAGACTCTGGTCCTGACATGCAACACACATTGAGCACTGGGTCCTGCAGTCCCAGCTGGTATTAAGTAGCTGCAATTACAAATTGCAAATCAAAATTAAAGAGACCCAGGCCGTACTTCTGGCTTATACTTTGCAGTTTCTGGTTTTAAGTATTTATTCAGGAAATTGGAAGTTTACCTGCAAAATACTGTTTTTTCTATTGGGATATATGAAGCAAACAGTAATCAGTCTTGTGCTACTGAAAGTATCTGTTAACTTCATTACAAGAACAGTAAATTCAGTGTTTATAACATACCTGATTCTTAACTTGGAAATTTCAAGGTCCTATTGGTTCAGGCAATATTTTCCTTTTACAGTTTTTATGGGGCTTTTCGCTTTTCTTTTGGCTTTTTTTTTTTTTTTTTTTTTTTTTTTTTTTTACATTTAAGAGGCTGAGTAAAGTACCTAGGAAGATACCAGATGAGAAGGAATGAATCTTAAAAACTTGCACTCAAAACCCAAACTCTTTCCTCCTACATTCATAGGGCAGAGTGACAGAAACGTACATAACTAAGTTCTAAATACAAATGCAAAATAGGCATAATTGTCACTAATATTTTTTTTCTCTGTGCATTACAGATGACTGGCATGTCAAAACCCCAACCTTTGTTCTCTGGACAGACTAACTGGTACATTTAGGGAAACTCGAGTCAAGTTGGAAAAGGAAAAGAAAAAATAGTTTTGGGCTTTCCCTTTTTTTGGTCAGACTATCAGTACGTGAATTTGATTACTTCAGCAGTCACTAGTGTTTGATAAATGTTCTGCTGAACAAACAGCAGCATAAATTTTGTCACAAGTAGCAATTTAATGCTGTAATAAAACCCCAAATCCTTACTATACGAAGTTACTGTATTTAGCAAAGATACTTTATTATTTGTTTTCAAATGTTTCCATTTTCAGTGCTGTTTCCTTCCTGTTGAATCACCAGGTGGGTCTTTGATGTGATTCATGAAACTCAGCATCTAAGGACATTTGCCTCAGTGCTGTCTGTCGAAGGAACCCAGTTCTTCTGGGTGTACTGTTGAAATGACGAGTGAAGCAAAGCAGCAGCCAAGTCTGTACCAGCACAGTAGGACTATGTATCCCACACCATTCATTTCTAGTGTGAAGGTTTGGTCTTACAGAAGCAAAAAAGTTCCAGCTTCTGATGTGGCACCTTAGCTTTTTCTTCTCAAACTGCAGTGCTCTGGGCAAGCCAACAGACCCTGCTGCTGTGCAGAGACACGGAGTGATACTGTCTGTGGGGACAGCATCCTGTGATTGAAAATAAGCTCTTCCACAGGGGATTCTTCCAGTCACAGATGGGGCAAGAGGGGGAGGCTTTTCACTCCTCTCCTCTCTATAACTGTGCATAGACCAGCACGGCGGGTTGTTGTGCTCAGGTGTTGACACTCTGCAGGTGATGGCAGACCTGAGGGCGTGCTGTTACCCACAGGGAAAGGAAGATACAGCAGTTCCAGCTACACCTGTCTATATGCACACACGTGAACACACATGCTGTTTTTCCTCAGACTCATTTGGCGACACCAACCGAAGGTATCAGCTTGTCTGTACCAGGTAATTTGAATACTGGAAGTGTGTAATGAGGTGTTTGGATTACCTTGAGACTGACACAGATCATGTGCAATCCATACTGTTCTCTTGCCCAGTGGCAGCTGCAGGAGAAGCCGTACTTACTTTACCTGCATCCTAGAAAATCCCTGGCAGTTTCACTTTCCCTCTGTGAGCCCTGCAGGTGGTAACAGCACGATGCATGTCATGCGGTGCTGCGGGCTGCATGTGTTGCCACAGGCTTGGAATCTCCATGAAACCATAAAACCACATAACAAAGTTCCCATATAATTTCTGTTGTACATCTCTCATTATGCTGAGGTTAAGGCAACCGGTCTCCTTTTATTGCCTGTCTATATATCGCTGTGTAACACGTAGTCTGATCTCAAAAATTGCCACCATAGTACTGACTGAATTTGTTTCAATACTTTTGGCAGTTGCCTTCAACTTGCTTCCAGAAGGCAAGGCTAATTTGCCTTTTGTTTTGGTGTGGTTTATGGTTTTCCAGCATGAGTCAGGAGGTTCCATTTCTCAGTCAGGAGATGAGAAGTTATTGTTTCTGGGGCTTTCATGATTACAGATCCTTTTTCCTGACAGAAGGAAGATCACAGGCTGAGAAAAAGCCCTGTACAGTACAACTGACATTTCAGTTCTCCATATGCCTAATTCCAATTCCGAACTGGTCTGCTTTCAGGAGTGGTAGCTGAAAGCCTCTTAACAGAGTAAAATGCCGTTTTTCAGAATCTAAACATAGTAGATAGCTGAGTTGTCATTCCAGAAATAAGAAGGTTTGCCTTAGTTAGCCTTAGCAGCACCCTACTTTGAATAGTCTTCTCCATATACTGGAGTTCAGAAGTGACTCAAAACCGTTGCTTCCATGGCAGTTCAAGCACCATAGCCTACTACTTCTGCCTGCAACGTTACCATGCAGAAAATTACCAAAAAGCAAGGTCCTGAAAGTGTAGTATATTTCCCCAGGAAAAGGAAAACATCGTATTCTGTTGTTTATGTAGAAACTGTCTTACATCAGGTAGTCAGAGCTGTAACTGAAAGGAAGATGTAGCCTGCACTATGTGCTCTTTTGTATAGCTATTAAAAAAAAAAAAAAAAAAAAAAAAAAAAAAGAGTGAAAAGAAATAAACTAGTTGTCATGTTTTCACTGCAGTCCCCTGTGTCACAGATACCCGTGTAGTTTTTCCTGTGTTACGCACTGCTGCTTCATAGACCCAATAGATACTTCAAAGTCAGTATTTTTGGCAGGAAGGAGTTAATTAGCTACTAGGCATAGGAAAAAAACTTCCTCGATTAATAACTTGTGACAAAATAGATCATATTACTTCTACAGTCTACTGAGAAGAGTTTCTTTTAAATTCATGCCTAGAAATTGAATTCTGCTATTATACACGTAGTTCCCCATCCCCCCTTACACTGCTAGCATTAAGTAACCAAGAGCTAAATGTGTGCGTTTGGCTTTTTGCTGTACAATAAACAGTGAAAAATGTTAGTCTGGATTTTCCTAATGAATACTGCCAGCATATATTCCATGCTGCTTTCCATAAGGAAATGACCATCCACACCTGGGTTAGTGTTTCTGGGGGATGATATAACTGGAACTACAGTATTTTTTCTGAAGCACCCAAATGCTATAGTGGTTTAATGAGGCAGGGGGTGGGAAGAGGAGACTCTCCTTGGCAAGAGAAAAGGTGACAAATGGGGGACAGATTCCCCAGCCAAACCGTGTTTTTAAATTGTGGGATATAGACAAAACCAAATTAATTTTGAGTTCTTCCTGGCTGAAGTCAGTATTCATCTCAGAGCCATTTTCTTCCCGGGATCTTGGTCGCAGTAAAGAAGCTGTCTGCACGGAGCTACAATTAAATGTTTGCCTTCTCTTTGAAGAAAAAAAAAAATCTGCTGCTGCCCCATCATATTTTTCTCTCAGTAAAATATTTAGCCTGTGGTTGATTACAAAAGTCTATGGTGAAAATAGGTCAAGTTTGGTATTTGAATGCCCTGGAAAAACTGGCAGTGTGTTTGCTGTCTACATTAATATCTGTCTTATTTAAAAGGAGACTTTTAAGTCTGGACAGTGGCAAATCTGGCTTTGGATTGGAAATTTGATAGTTATTAGTGCTGCTGAAAAGAGTAAATAGAAGGTGTTTTCTGCATTTGAACAAACTTTCAAAGAGAGACTTTCCTCTCCATATTTTCTGACAAGCGGGAACACATTTGTGCAGTGAGAAGGTCTCCAACAAGCAGGTTTAAAGAAGACAGCTAGAGTAAGATTACTCAGTATATTTGTGTATTATTTTTTATAATAAATTCTAGAATTAAGAGCAGTGAGAATGAAGTTCCTAACCTGTTCAGAGACTGCAGAAAAGAGGGTTACCTGCTTTTTCTTCATCTCAGTTAAGTAGCTAAGCCTAACCAAGTCACCCTGAGCTGCATCTAATCTATAGAGAAATAGGCACCCCTGGGAGACGAGATATCAGATTTCAAGCTGAGTCACATGAATCGTCATCAGGAAAAACTCCTTTTATTCATCCCGCCGGGTTAACTAGCTTTTGTTTTGCCCTGCAGTTAGTCTTTATTTTCCTGTTTGTTTGCAGAGGAATTAAAAAAACCCACCCAACTGCTGATGCAAAAATGGAAGGAAAAATTCCCTTGTAATTGGACAGTGCTTGGCAACCACAGATCCTACGATATTTAAACAGAAAAACAGTCCACTGCATATGGATGGACCTGGACGGTGGCATAGCAGAGTGAGAAGCAGTAGGGAAAGAGGTCAAGCAAAGCTCACACCGTGGCCAGCTTCCACATAAATCCTCAAAATATGACTCATGAGTAATTAAGGAGCTATGTAAATGTGTGATGACAGAGGGTGAATTTAATAAATATTTGTATTTTTAAGTATGCCTTTAGGAGTAAATTTGTTCACTCCTAAGCAACAATTTGTTGTTTGCTTGATTGTTTTATAGTGATTTTTTACAGTGGCCTCAAGTTGCGCCAGGGAAGGTTTAGACTAGATATTAGGAAGCATTTCTTTGCAGAAGGGGCTGTTGGGCGTTGGAATGAGCTGCCCAGGGAGGTGGTGGAGTCTCCATCCCTGGAGGGGTTTAAGAGTAGAGCTGACATAGTGCTGAGGGATCTGGTGTAGTTGGGAACTGTCAGTGTGAGGTTAATGGTTGGACTGGAGGATCTTCAAGGTCTTTCCCAACCTAGACAATTCTGTGATTTCCCTCCCAACTTTTCTCAGTGCAAACTTTTCAGCTTTTTCAATCTTACCTTTTCTCAGAGTAGAAGCATATTTCTTTTTAAACTGATCCCACAGGTTGGAAAAAGTGTGTCTGCCAAAGTACAGTACAGACACTGATACTGCTCTCTCATCAGGTGGAGGACAGTGGTAACAGTGAGAAAGCAGCACTGACAGTCTCAGTACCACTCTTACTCTTGCAGTATGATTACAGAAGTCAGTTGATGGGCCAAGTCATCTCTTGCTCATTCCACTAATTAAAAGAGGTGTGAATAACCTTTTTCCCCCTCTCCCAATTTTAGCGCAGAGTGTCACAGTGGTTTCAAAGAAATGGACCTATGAATATCAATCACTATGCGAATAAGAAGAGTGCTGCAGAGAGCATGTTGGACATTGCCCTGCTGATGGCCAACGCATCCCAGCTGAAAGCCGTGATGGAGCAAGGACCTTCTTTTTCCTTCTACATCCCACTTATCATTCTTATCAGCCTGTCACTCACACTGCAAGTTATGGTGGGAGTGCTCCTGATATTCCTTGGTATGTAGCAACAACAAGAACCATTGACATGTATTTTCCTTACAAGATGCAACCTATAAGATGGTATTTGAGATGGTATATAGACTCCTCTTTTCTTTTTTTAAAAGCTGTTATATTTGAAAGTCTTTACCTCAGAATTGATTAAAGTTATCTCTTAAGACCGTAGAAATATTGCAACAAAAGGAGTAAGGGCAACTCTATGTGGAATCTTTGCTTTTGATCCACTTCCTCATATTCATTTGCCCACAGCATGAATATTTTTCTTTCCAGAAAGCCTGAGGAGGAAGGAAAATGACGAAATACTGTAAAAGAAACATTAATAGGCCAGATAGGATCATGCAGCCTGCTCAGTTTCATAATACTGTTTCTGGCAAGACCTGTTACTTAATCTTATGACCGAAACGTGTTTGTTCCATATCGGTCATATCATAAGTAATATTACAAGAATATATTGCAAACATAGAACTCCAAAACAGAAGTGAAAGTTAAAATGTCCATATTCATCTTGGTGTGGCGTATTGTCTTCATCTGGTTTGTGTTTCTGCAATCAAATCAAAGGTTTGATAGAAAAGGCTTGACAATAATGAAAAAAAGCTCTTAGTTTTAAATTTAGGAAATTATTCAAGGCATCCTAAATGTCTAGGTGGGGTGTGGTAGAAATGTACTTGTTAATTTGAAAACTTGTGTTAAAATTAAATTAAAGCTAAAAAGAAAAATGGAGCAACATTTCACTGTAAGAACATAACCTCGTCTCTTATCCACATACTATGACTTCATCAAAAAATTTGAAATTATGTACAATGTGAAAAAACAGTTTGAGTTGCATTCTGGGATTACAGATAGATTGTCTTGAATTCTGCTTGTTGCTAGGGAAACCTTTTCTACTTTCTACCAAAGAAATGTGATGCAATACATTTAACATATGCTAGAAATCATTTTTCAAGAGAACGAGTTCAAATAGGAGTTGTGTTAGTGTGTGCTTTGGATGCATTTAACGAGACAGCTGTAGAATTAGTTCCCTGCTCCCTGCCTTTCCCCCTCTCCACTTTCCATCTCAATCTTGAATCATGGACCTTCACGTTCCTAGAAGTTCAATGCAGTGCCTTTGCTGTTCTCAAAAAGAGAGGTTCCACTATTCAGTATTGATAGGTACAATGCTATGAGGCACAAGAACCAGTACTTATCAGTAAAAATTAGGTATTTTAAGATAGTATTGCGAGATTAATAGCACACGTATGTCTTACACCTTCTGCTGTACTCTGTCAAGCACAATATTTATCTAATTAGCTATAGAACCAGGTTCATTTCTACATCACTAAGGGAGCATGAATTACCAAAAAAACCCAATTAAAGCTCCACAGAGAGTGGAGACACAGCACTCTTCTGGCAATCCAAGTTTTCTGATTCGACCTTAAACAAGTCTTCAGTGCTTCTCTTTGCTATCTTAACCTACAGTGATATTTTCCCCCTTGATTTTGCAAGGCAAAATGCAGAAAGAATCCAGTGACACTCTGCAAAGATGCTGAAAGCCTGAGACATTCATTAGCAGCACCCAAAACCCTAGACCATAACTTTGGGGAGTCAATCAAAGATACCTGTGGAAATCAGAGGAAATGTGTAGGTTTCAGCATCAGTTGAACCCCATTATTCCCTGAAGTAAATTACACCTTCGCTGGTAGGAAGCAGCTGTGGATCACTTCTGCTAGTGATATATGAATGTTTATTCTCATCACTTTTTTCAAATCTTTCCCTTTAAATTAATGGGTACTATTTGACAGATCTTGTCTACCCTAAATGAAAAGCCTTGAAGGTGACAGCCAGACTTCACACATGGCGTTTACTGAACAACTTTCAGCTCAAGGAGGAAGTTCCTAGGAAACCAGGATACATAAAGCTTGTGATAGTGATGTGCAGCTGATTCAGCTTTTTATTTTCTTATGACAGAGGCAGAATACAGCTGTCTCTGCATTTGGTAGAGTTGGTACAGGAGCAAAATCCGGGTCCTGGCTCAGAGGAGATTCCAGAAAGGAACTGGGAAAAGCAACCTGATGATACTGAGGGATGTGGGAAGAGAGTAATGGAAAAATCAGTAAAACACTTCTATGTTTCTTGACTGAAGGCATCTCCCTGCTGGTTATTTCAGTTAAGCGGGCTTTGAGGCTGCAAACAAGTTCCCTGCTTTTTGTTGGGCAATAATTTCTTAGTATATGCTGAGACATTACTTTTTAATGCTTGTTTCTGCCAGTTATTACCAGAGTGACTTCCATCTCTGTAATTTTTATTTTCGTCACATGGAGAGTAGGGAGTCCCAGCTCCGACACTGTGCTGCAGTAGAGTTCACAGACCACTTAGAAAACAGTGAGATTCATCAGTTCAGCCCGCAGGCCACAGTCAGAGGTGGCTGTAGATTTGGTGTACCAAGGGGGACAAAGCTCTCAGCTTCTGGCGGTGTGCTGTTGGAGTGATGCTGTTGTGCTGAGGACAAAAATACTGAAGACAGGATATGTAGATATAGGACATCATAGCAAGAATTTGCTTTTCCCAAAGTGTATTTGGTAGCTTTGGCCTGCAGGAACAGTTTTCCCTTCTGTCTAGTCGCAAAATTCTGCTTCTTACAAACTCTCACAAGTCAAAAAAAAAAAATCTGTGCAACTTCCAGTTTCTTTCCTTGAGAGCTTTATCCCAGGAGCTACCAGTTCTCACAGTCCTCTATTAGAAATTAAAATTCCTCCTTCAAAAGACCCTTTCACAAAAACATTTTGAAAAATGTTCAGCAAACTTGTCCTTGAAAGTGATTTGGTAATTTTAACTCTAGAAGAAAAGCAAAGAATTTCTTGAAGTAGTTTAAATGGCATGAAATCATAGTAATCTAATCCAACTATAATAAAATACTTAAAGAATAACTGTTCTTAACATTTTCACAAACACCCTCATCTTATGTACTGTCACCACAAGGATAGGATTACTGCAATTCAACTTCAAAATTTAGAACACTGCCTAAACTGACAAGCAATACTTGTCTTCTCTGACCCTTATTTGAAGAAAGGGACAGCTCTGAAAGTGTCATTTCTCCTTTGAGCAAGGTTTCTTTTAACTCGGAAACCACATTAGACCATTATTGCCTTTTCTTTGTTAAACCGACTGTCTGAAACACTTTTCTTCCATACTTCAGAATTAATTATTCCATTTCATTTGTTCTGCTTTGTTCACATGACAGTACTAGAGTCCTTCCAGGTATTGTTGGGATGCAAGCATCCACATAGCTCCAGATGCTTTACAGACATGGATAAACTCATTTTCAGGATGAAGTACTGCTGACTTTATATTATTTCATGCCTACACAGGTGTGCAGTAGCTTCAGCTTTTCAGATAGTTCCCCCACGCTGTTCTTCAGTGCTTTGACTGGCTTGTGATGTTTGACTGTACTGCTTTAGCAAACAGGACTTGAACAGGCACTCAGAACTCAGAGACAAAAACAGCATTAGACTTCCTAGTTAGAGAAACCAAGTGAACCTGGTTGTTAATACTTCAGCATCATGAGTGTATTTGCCACCACTTCTATCTAACTACTTCAAGCAAGCGAGTCTTGGTTCTGTGGTTAAGTTCTGCACTGTGGACAGGGTAGTTATGTTAAAAGCAAATAACAAAGTTTATCTCATGCAGTGGAGTCATAAGCTACATCTGTGTATGTGCCTGTCAAAATGAGCTCAAAGTTTTATTTATGTTGCTGTTAAAACTTGTCCTGTACATGCACACACAAGCTCTGATGATCTACTCGTTTAAGAACTAGGAGTCTTAACAGACAAAAACCATTCTCCTAACACTTTCCAGAAGTCATCAGCACTCATTCCACCAGCATCAAAGAAATGGAGCAGAGGGTCTCAGTTGCAGAGCCCTTACTGCAAAAGAACAGAGACAGAGGCAAACCTTGAGTTTCTGCATGACACTAGGCAGGCGCCCCCAGACTTCACACCATCCTGGACAGGCATGTGCCTTGTTCTGTCATCAGGTCTATCAGCAGTCCAGTGTAATGCATCTGTATGTTTTCACAAGGTCTGGTATCAAAGCTTAAACCAAATCAATACTTTCTCTTTGGTGTGTTCCTCCCTCACTCCCATTAGCAGTTCAACCAAAGAACAACTGCAAGAAGCAAAAGAAAGTGTTTACACAGCTGTTGCTCTCTGTAAAAAGAACTGCAGCTACACTGCTTTGCAGTCTTCCTCTGTTTAACAGATACAATGCCCTTACTTTCTAAAAACAGAATCGCTGCAAAAGCAGGGAGTACAAGTGGGGAAGGGCACCAGCACAAAAAAAAATTCAGTGGTGGTAAGCAGTGGTTGGGCTGTCTGCGAAGAACCTGTAGCATTGTAACTGTAGTAGATTTAACTGCTTTCCATCCTGTCGGGGCTTCAAGCTTCATGCATTCAAGACTGAAATAATTTTTAAATGCTTAAAGTCTGCAACAAAATTAGATTTCAAAAGATCAAGAACCCAGAAGATTTCTAGTAATGTTTGTGTATCCCATGTGCATCCACAGAGATTAGGTGTTAATTACTGGAAGCTAATAGGCTCCTTGTGGTTCAAGATCTTCTCCTTAGCAGTTTTACTGACACTGCAGTATCTTACTTCCCTTTTAAGTATGACTGATGCAAATACCTCAGTGTGAGAGAAATTCTTGAACTACATGACCAGTGAAGACTTTTATTCTGGATTTTGAAATATACATGTAATCAAAACTTTTTTTTTCCTTTCCTTTTGAAGTAAAATATGACCTTAACAACCCTGCAAAACATGGAAAGCTGGATTTCCTCAACAACCTTGCAACTGGACTAGTATTCATTATAGTAGTTGTGAATATTTTTATCACTGCCTTTGGAGTGCAGAAGCCAGTTGCCGAGTCAGCATCAGGACACTAAGCACAAGGTGAGTGTGGTCTCTGCACTGTAAGGCAGTAGGGCACAGCATACATAAATGCAGTGCAAACTAAGGCATAGCTTTAAAAAAGCCACAAGGTTATCTATACAGTTCTAGCCTTTGCAGAGAAGGGAGTTTACTTCAGACTACTGCAAAAACAAATGCTACTAGAAACTGATAAGTTATTGCAGTGTGTTTGTAAATGTAGAGTTCAAAAGCTGATGGCATCATCTCACTTTGTCAGGGGGCCCTTGCATGTATCATTCATGGGAAGTGTAAAGGTTGTCCTTCTGTCTTAGCCACTCCTTGTCCTCATTGCTGACTAAGCTGAGAGATAGTAATGTTTTGCTTCCTCCAAATGCCTCTTTCTTCAAGAAAGTTTTGCAGTATACTACATCCAGTCTGTTGTCAACACTGAAGACTTAATCTTTATCCAAGTAACTAGAGCTATTAAGTCCAACATGTAATGCTACACATCACCAGAGCCCTTCAGTTCCTGTGCAGATAGTGTGTCTATTCTATCCTCCCAAGCTGCAGGGCTTTTGCTTTGTTGGAGACTCAGCCCGAAAAGCTGTGCACTATCACTTTACTTGACACATGCAGTCATTTAGAACAATACTGTTTGCTCTACCTGCATTTTAAAGTTTGTTATTTACTTATACAGAAGGATAAATATAGGAATTGTGGGAATCAAAATGGGTATCTTTGTAGCATCGTAACTATGATGAACAATTTGGGAGGAGATAAACCTAAATTGTAGGCTTGTAGCCCAAGAAGCACTGTAGTCCAGCATCTGCCTTAAAAATAGCAGTACAAAGTCTGTGTGTGCCAACACTGCTCTGGCTCTTTATCTTCCAAATCTCAAATCATGCGCAGAAGGCCTGCTGACTTTCCTGGCAAGCTGCAGTATACTGGCTACTACACAGGCAGCCCATAAATGTAACATGATCAGTTTGAATTAACTTCTATATGAAACACTTTCTCCATAAAAAGGGCCTTTAAACCTCTACTCTAAAGATGAATGGCGCAACAGAAATCTGTAACAAGAATGGAGACCAGACCAAAATTTATCAGGACTCTTAACAGCATGTGGGGAAAATCAGCACAACGAATTACTAGGAAGATGAAGAATGAAATTAATTTATGGGCAGAATTGTCTGCTTTAACCAAAACCTGTGAAATTCTGGCAGTGAAACAAGATAGTTTTATTGTGTTTTCTGACCATAGTCTCTACAAATAAACTAATAAACATTTAATTTTATCAGCAAGGAGCACATAGATTATCTGAGCTATTATCAGAATTAGAGGTACAATGTCCTTCTCAGCAGTACGTATTTTTAATACTGAAACACTAACCACAAAACTGCACTGGCAAAGCCAAGAGAACTGAAGGAAGGCTTACTGGAATTTTAGCTGCCTTCACAGAAGAAAACATGCACAATAGCCAGGAACAGAGGCAGATACAAGAATCTGATATAGGCATCAAGAAATTCAAATAATGGACAAGGTGGCCTATCAGGATCCCAGATGTGCCTCTTTTTGGTTCAGAGAAAGAAAAACTGAAGAGGGAAGAGAGAAGAAGCAGCTTTTGCTCATCACACTGACGTATGCTGAGAGGGAGATGGGTTGACAATCCAATCCCAGGGCAGTTAGTGCCTTAATACAATGGTATATGGATGTCAGCTAATATCCGGAGGGTGGGTGAGACACACCTTGCCTTGCCAGGGTACTGGATGGGTGAGGTCACCCACATCTCATCTGCTATTTCTCTATGTGCTTCATTCTCTAATGAGGTGCCTTATTGAGTCTCCTCAGTACCAGTGCCAGCTCTGCTCCCTTTTCAATCTCTTGCTTGCTTTTAGGAGATGCTGCTTCTGCCATGTTTCCCAAAACATGGCTGCTGTATCTCTCTGCAGCGGAACCCAGTGCTGAAGTGCTTTGAAGAACCCTGCAGCTGCTACAGAGTTTGCCGGACATGTGTGCTGTGTGTTACCATCCAATTCAGCTCCGGGCAGCACTAACATGCCAGGCTGGCTTCTGAATGTTCCTGTGCTCATTAAAGTCATGAAGTGCATCCCCCTGCACATTTCTCCCGCCCATCCACGGACTTTGTCTACTTTCTCCTTCCTTCACACAAATGTGTGGCTAAGTCTTATGGAAACATCAGTGGTTTTGTGCAGTGTCTTACTGCTTAGCTGGCACCATCTGGCAAGAAGGGGGCTCTTCACAGCATTTATGTTGGAGTTTCTCCTCTACTATTCCTTCTGCTCTCCATAAACTGTCAACCCAAAGGGTTTGTGGCTTAATTGTGACTAGGATTGTGGAATCCCTAGTTAGAAAGCTAGGTCCTAAATGAGAAACCAGTTCATATGTAGCTTCTCTGAGATTGTCATGAGAGCATGAAACACAGTTCTAGTGGATGGCAATAGCTCATACAGCCCTATATCATACAGCACACAGAGCTATGCACAGCCAGAGTTCACATACCTAGACATGATTGGTATCTACTGCTGAAATGATTTAATAAACTTGCACTGCCTCAATAAAGGAGAAACAGTAGCTGGTTTATGTCACCTCAGGTAGAGGCAACATCAAAGGATGTTTAAAGCAAGTTTACATCTGTACAAAACCAGCAGCTTTGTGATCCTGCCTTCATGCTGCTCCCACATGCAGTTTCTTAATAAAATGATCAAATTCAGTGTCTGGGACCTGTGTCTTTTTGCTCCAGACTTATTAAATGTGGAAGTTCTTCATTGCTTTGGAACATTACATCTCTTGTTTGCTCACTTGTACATGTTGTCCTTGCTAAAAGCATCCAGTCATCTGAATGTAACTTGAAAACCAAATTTTTTTTCAGTCTGCTGCCACAGTCTCCTGAGAAAAGTGAGTGGCCACCATTTTCTGGCTTCACTTTTACTATTATACATACTTTTTCAATGAAAACTTAATTCGCCGCCCTTTAAGGCAATTTTGTCATTTACTGTAATTCCTGTACCACTAACATCTCAATATCTTTTTTTTTTTTAATTTCAGAGACCTGAAGTATTCATTCTAGATGCCATTTGCACTTGAGCCAGCTACACTTGGACACAGTAGGGAAGAAAAAAATAATCTGAAGAAGCTGGACATACCGAGCAGCTTTCTCAAGTTTCCAAGAACCAGCACATTTGTGTATCTAAATTTTTCCCATGTGTTAATATTTAAAGTGTTTGGCATCTCAGAAAAGGTTGATTATGACCAAAGGACATTGTTTTTCTGGAATATTGTAATTTCAATTGCTGTAGAAACTAACTTTTTCAGGAAAGTGGCATAAGCTCATCAAAGTACTATCAACTGGTGGCACTTCACAGGACTTCCCTCTTTCTGTGCCTTTTGCTTGTGTGGCAATTTATCATTCCTGCCGTGGTAAGAAATAGCAGGCCTTCAGTTCTGGCACGGTGACATCATCCTTCATTTCACTTGCTTGGTACCAAATCTGTGTGCTCCATAGCTCAGCAGTGGTCTTCCTCTGCAGTGTGCAGAGAGAGCTGTGCCTTGTTTTCTTTTTTTTTCCACTCTAGCTAAAGCAAAGATGAGACAAACAGAAACAGCAGGCTATCTTTTGCCCATTCTTGCTCACAGGTACTCATCTGTTTCGTCATCTCTGGACCACATTTACAATTTCCTCTCCTTTGTGCATAGACACACAAATAACCTAATTGCTAATAGTTTCTTAATATTAACTGCTGTAGTCTGTATTCTGTGTATTATGTATGTTTCTGGAAACCCTGTTAGAAGAGCTACCTTTTCTAGGCCTGACTAGAAAACTAGAGGATACAGGGTGAACTTTGTCTGCTAAACAGGTACTGAGTGCCTGTCAGCAATTCAAGTAGCAAATTTAAAGAAGTTTATCCCTTTGTAACTTACTTTTCCCTCTTCTCAAGATTGACTGCTGCATTTGTGTTACTCTTATGAGTTTATGGCTGAAAGCATAACTGATTTTTTAATTTTTATTTTTAAATATATATATATAGATATAAATATCTTCTAGGTTCTTACCTGCCAACTCAGGGACTGACGCTTTTTCTAAATACACTATTGCTAGTAATGGTGTAGGTCATAAAAATTTCTAAAACAGAAACATTTCAGTCATTTTATTTCCAAAGTGTCTGCAATCAGAAAAATCTTGGTTTTCTAGATTGTGCTTATTTGTAGTTGCAGATTTGTACTAATATATTTCCTTACTGTTAATTTTTAAATGCTCCCTTGCACATATTAATAGAAGTTTGACTTCCGTATGTCTCATCTCATTTACAATTTTTATTGATCACTTTTCTCTTTAGTTGTGTCTCAAGGCTCATTGATGTACCATATCTTCATTTACATGTTCTGTAAGAATTACTAACAGAAAACAAATCAGAAACTTGTGTGATTAGTAATAGAATAGACATTATTTTTATTTTTAAATTCATCTTTTGTTGCTTCTTTGCCAGCATAACATGTATTTAACTAGTAACTAGCAAGCAAAGATTTAATTGTGCGTGTTGTACTAATTTAAACATAGCTCAGAATAAGTTCTGAATAAGGTATTCAGGATAATTTTCCTTATTTATTTTTCACAAACCAGTGAATTGTTGAAGGACTATTCCTACAGACTTGTGCTATTGCAGTTATGGTACTGTAGTATAGTGAACTGACTGGCCAAATAGCAGTGCTGAAAACATTAAAAATGCATTTATTTTGGAGAAAATAGGTGACTGTAGGCAGAGCCCTTCCAAGTGTGAAATTTATCTGTGGCTCAACATCAGGCAGTAATTTTGATGAGATTCTGGACTGTACCACCTTTGTTACCTTTCAACTTTTTACTCACTGGAGTATTTGCCCATCTGTTTCAGTCTGGAGATGTTCTCTGGAGGCAGGTACTTCTCTTCTGTACAGGAAACTTTGTACCAAAGCTAGATGTCTGAAGTAATTGCTTTGTGTTATCCTAAAAACATTACCCATCCAGAAGTTAGTTACTTTTAACTTAGGTATGATTACTAGGTATTTTTCATGGCCAGATTTGCATCTTTCTACTTTTTAAGCAGGACACAAAAATATGAAGAAATGTGTTTCTGCCACATAGGTGATACTCTCATTTTTTGACTTGGCCTTACTACCCCCAAAGGCAGATGCAAACAGATGTCCAGGCTCTGCTGACGTTTACCGTATTTATACCTAGTGGTGATTTGTCCCAACTTTGAATGTAGTTTTCCATTCCTGTGTTACTTATGGTCCTTTTTTTTTATGAGCATAATCATGTTTGTCTTGCACTGAAACCCTTGAAAGCAGTCAGAGTGGGTTGCAGTGCAGACATACCAAGTCTTTTCCCATTTTATTCCCCTCATTATTGGACCATAGTTTTTCAGGTTACTCAAGCAAACAAGCTGTTACAGTAGGTTTCTTCTGAAAAAGGTGATAGCTGTTCTTATAGCATCTTTACTGCTAAGCTGTTGTCCAACAGAAACTACCAAAGCTTGTATATCCCATCCCCCAGCAGCTTGTGGAACTAGCTGGATCCAAAGCCAGGGTGGGGAACACTCACCAGGCAATGACTTGTCAACTACAGATTCCAATGGACTTTGCAAGACACAGGTTTTGAGACATGCAGGAGGGAAAGAAGGAATACTTCAAGCTTAAACACGTTGTTGGGTGCCAAGGGCTGGATGTGGAGATCTGCATTGAAGGGGTGGGTTTCTTCTCACTTTAAGTCTGCCAGAGCCAGACTCAGAACAAAACCCCATGAATCCCTCTGCCTCCTGAGCTCTGGAAGTGTGACTGGAGCATCACAACGGAGATACTTGCAAATTCAGAGACCCTGGTCTCTTGGTTCTAAACACACAAAAACCTGATCTGAAAGGCATTCCGCTGACTACAAGACTACCAGGCATCGGTAGTATTCAACTTGCAACTGGATGTCTCTTTTTTAAATAAATAGGATGCTGGTTTATTACCATGTTGATTAAGTAAGATTAGCAAAACATCCTCAAACATGAAATCTGTGTTTTAAGTCTCAAGCCTTCAGAGATCATGTATTTTTTAGCAGACAAAAGCATCTACAAGTTGGTTTCAAGTATAAATAATTTAATCACATGACTGTTATTCTTTCAAGTCAGATACTTATTTAAAATCCTAGTGAATACCTCCTAGGGATGGCAAACAAATGCACTGGTTTAAATCATTCTTTGGTTTGCTGTGCTTCTGCAGAGTTCTTGGTTGTAGGCAAACATTTCACTTAAAAAGAGGTCATCAATAATGAAGCGAGATGAATTTTTACAGGCTGTCGTGGCAGACAGTTCAGGCCAGGTCATCCGTTTACTTCTGTTTCATAAGCTGCCAAACAGAGTAAGAAGAACTACATGTGCTGCTCTGGTCGTTCTCATTAGTCCCTTCAGCATCTAGGACTGCCCGGGTTGGAATTTTCAGTGTAGCTGTATTGACTGAAGCAGGTGACAACAACTATATTTACTGGAACTGACTTGGATGTATTTGTCTTCTAAATCAGGTCATTGCTGAAGCTTATTCTGCAGCTGAGTATTACATAAAATGGACTGAACAAGAAAGGTTTTGGTCGCTTCTTTTAATTTATTCTAACAAATGCTTTATCTTGTTTTCTGACATGTCTTCCCGCAGTAGCACTGAGCCTACCAACCCCGCTTTGCTGTAGGCACTAGTTAGCTGGGGGCACTGTCCTATACCAGAGGTACCGGTGCCCTGCGCTCATTCCCTTGGTCCAGGGCACAGACTTATGACTACATGTTAGCCTAAAAGCCTGGATACTCTTTTGTTGTTAACAGCTGAAAGAAACATGATAATTTTGATAATTCAAATATTTCCAAAATAGTTAACAGAAATGAGTAACAGAATCCAAACACTAAGTTCTGCTTATTTCCTAGCTTACCAAAGGTGTTGCCATTATAAGATTTATCAGGCTCAGGAAATGCTATGAGTGGTACCAATTTATGCACTGTTTTAGAGTGCATTTAAAAAAAATTGTCAAAAGCTGGACCTTGTTCTGCAATATAATTTTGTCAAATCACAGGAGAACAGGAGCTACTGAAGGTGTGTTTACTTACTACAGGGCAGTGGGAACACTTAGAATATGTAACTGATAATATATTTTCAGACGTGTAACCCCTATTTTTGATACCCTGCACATTTAAACACAACACCCCTTGAAAATAAATCATCAAATCTCCCATAAGGTTAGAGGCAGTGTAGAGCACATAGAAGCACTGAGCCTGGAATGAAGCAGGCTCTCCTCCTTATCTGTTTGCATACAAGAAAAAGCCACATTGCTGCTAAATGGTCATGTTTTGCTTCTAAATAACTGATTCGCAGTTTATATACATAAGCATAATATACAAATGTGAGAGGTGGAGCCTCCCATCTTTGCATGGCCATCCCCACAAACCCTACGCTTCCATTAGGAAATTAAAAAATAATAAACCAAGAGCTTCTGAATACTCCCAGTAGTTTTGCTATGCTGTCTGTAGGGAAATGATCTAACAGAGCAGAAGCACTCCCGTTTAGTTCTTAAGACAACACATGTGGTATTATCACTATTAAGCCAATATCCAAGAAAGGATACTGCAGAAGAGTATAGATACCACGTTTCCCTTAGAAGAAGTCCGGAAACAAATGGTACCCCAGATATCACTAGATGGTAGCTCTCTGTAAACTACTTTTTTTCTCATAGAAATAAACATGGTTATCATCACTTAAATATACCCAAATTTAATGACCTTAAATGAAGCTCATGCATTGCAAAGACCACCACACCAGTGTGTTCAGATGCAGATTTTGCCCCAGGGAACTACCCCAGATGACAGTACCTATCTTGGAAGAAACCTCCCACAGTGACAGGGAAATGAGATGATGTTTTCCTTTGTGAAACAACCTTTCAACACTTTGTTTTGCTTTTGAAAGCTTTCACATACAACAGCACAAAGCACGAGGGTCAAAAGTCCTGAAAAGTAGGCAAACTGTGTCTCAGGACTGCTGCTAAGCTCAGGCTAACTACCCACTGGGTAGCATGCAAAAGAGAGTTTGCTGTGTCCCAAATTCCCACTGCCTTTATCTTGGAAAGCTACATGTCTGAGGAGCAGGCTGTCTTTCTCCCCTGGAAAAAAGAAGAGGTCGCTGCTTTACAGCTGAAATGCATAAGGAGAGGAGCCAATCTCAGCTCCTTAAAGGGAGGACCCCATTCACCCAGGTAGCACGCAGGGGTCTTGCTGCAGCTCTTTAATGTTCACAGGTGATCAGTAAGGCTGAACTAGAGTCAAAAGCTAAGACAAGAGACTATTAGAACAAGAAATACCTGAGATAAAGCATTTGAGGAAGGTAACTCCATGGCCACAGCAGGCTCTTAGAGCAAAGTTCAAATACTGCAGGGTGATGTCAGCTGTACCCAGTTTTACCCTTATCCCCACTATCATTTAGTCTAAAAAAATGTGGTGTTTAAAGGCTGCTGCTTCTGCAAGGGATGGAATTTCACATTTTCACATGGATAGAATTCTTAACTCTGTATTAAATGCATGCACTCAGCCTCAGCCCCACTGTTCTAATGGCTCTTGGCTGTGACACTGGAAGCATTACCTACATGTTATTGCAGGATATGTTGTGATAAATAGTGGAAGACACAGAATACATTCTTTTCAAGAACAATATCTCACCAATTATTATCCAACCTCCTAACAGGTTGGTGACAAAAAATTACCCTCCCTGCTATTGGATGCAGTGGATTATTTTGAACTCACTTTTCCTCCTTTTCCGCAGTTAATTGAAGATCTGTTTTCATGGTTAATTTTCTCCCCCCTTGGGTTATTTCATAATGAGAACTGTTTAATAACTTGGCTGCCTTCCCAAGGAGAGTGCCACAGCTCCCCAGCTGGGAACAGACACTTTCCAATGCCTGCTCATCAGGCAAGTTGAGCTTTGTCAGAAATGGAGACAGCAAAAACTCCAGTTACTTTTTATTCCAGCTTCATTCACAATGCTTTCCACTCTTCCTCCTCCTTTTTCCAACATTCCAGCTCAGAGGCAGCTCCAATCCCCTTTTTAGGGTACAGGTTTTAATTAGCTGGGAGGTGAATGGTAAATCTGGTGCCATGGTATGAAAAGCCAAACCAGGACTCCTGAAACATTGTCAACCATTTTCACTGGTGCCAAAAATACTTGAGAATAAATTGGTTTCATCACCACCCAACATTACCCCAGTTTTCTGGCATCAAGGATGAAAATAATTTAAAGTGTTGGAAAGGCCTTATGTTTCGCATTTGTGTTGGACTTGTGGAAGCTATGGAGGGAGACAGCTATTTGCCCTGAAACAGGATTTATTTTTTTCTGTGTCAGAAAATATGATTCATCAGGCATGCCAGGGAAAGAATCATTCAGGAAAGAAATGACTGTATTTAGCCCTGGGCCTCTCCATGGCCCATGGAGATTCAAACTCTGGAAATGTGTCTTAACAAAATCAGACTGTATGAAGTGCACTAAATGGGGCTGTGTGAGAGCAAGGCTGTGCTGGTCAGTATTCTCCTTCACATTCTGTAAAAACTCTTTTTTCTTCATGCTGATAAAAAAACCAGGTTTGAAAGCCCCACATCCCATAGACATGCTGGTAGGTCTCATCATAAGATCTGGAAGAGACCAAGAGACCAAATAGAGATGCCAGCATCGTTAAATCTGATGTCACTGTTAATATTTGGTTTAATTTGCATGTCCCCTTCACTTACAGAGACAGGGTGTGATGGAATAATGAGTCTTCTTGTTCGTGTTTCCAGACTCAGGACCAGCCTAGACTCATCCAGGGCTGAATTTCATCCAGTTCTGAATGAGGAATTTCTGCCCTACTTGTTTTCTTAATGACTCTGTGCTAGTTAAGACAAGTTTCACCTGTGCTCCACAGTGCTCCCTCCCTGGGAATACCCTGAAAGACACCTTTGCAGCTCTCATAGAAAAATGCTATCTAAATACTACTACTACTAGTAGTAATAATAGTAGTAATAATAATAATAATAATAATAATAACAACAACAACAATAACAACAACAACAAACAACAACAACAACAATAACAACATTTTTCTGCTATCATTCTACCTGTTAAATCTGGACTTTGAATTTGGTCCCTACCTGCCATAAACTATCCTCCTGGCAGGATGGAGTTCTTCCAGAGCTGCAAAAAGCAGGAGTGATAAATCAGGGAGACTCAAGCCAGCTCTAAGAAGTACACATGGGACCTCAGAGTGAAGGATAGGCCTCCTCTCACTTCCAGCCACTCTAACTGCAACTTGCTGCCTAACTATAAAATGGCATAAAGCTAAAGCAAAGCAGGCATGGAGTGGTACATGAGGTAAGGATGGGAGAACAAGCTCCTGTACTTGCCTCATAAAGACTGAGGTGAGATACTCAGAAGCCAGTCCAGTCCCTGCTCACAGCGATGGGACAAGAACATCCCCTCTTCAGGACCCTTAATCCCCCAGAACAAAGCCAGCTTCTGTAAGGCAGCGAGCAAAGGCTACCAAAAGCATCTGAAGGTGTCCATTTGGAGTCTGTAACACATCTAGAAGCATCCAGCACAGCCTCTGACCATAATGAGTCTGTGCATAATGGCTTCGGTTTTGCATTTGAAAGTAGTGATGAATTCTGGATTTTCCTTCTTGGTGTGTAGGAAAAAATGTGAGAGCAGAGCTTTTGCCAGTGACTCCCAGCTCTTGCAGCACAGCCCCTGTCTCCC